TACTGCACCTTATATAAAATGGCCTTCTGCATCTATCAAGGCTTTTTTGGGGAATTTTTGCAGGGAGGGAATATTTTACAGCCATGTATAGTTGGATTTGTAGATATATAGGACCAACTGAACAATAAATGGTCAGAACGCTGAGTTTAACTGCTACGTTTTATTAGAGTTTCTTAAACTTTTTCCACTCTCAACTCCTTTCTACTCGAGAATTTTTTACATGACCCCAGGTATATAAAATAGGTATAAAAAGAAAATACAGTGATAAATCAGCATTGGTAAGGCTTGCTTAGCAGGCTGGTTTTCCTTTTTTGTGGAGGACACCTCTAATGTTTTTTGCAGAGCCCACTATAAACACTATAAGCACATTGTTGCTAACAGATTTTTGCAAATGGGTGCCATTCAAAAACCTTTTATTGTTGCCAAATCTTTTGTGACCCCAGCATTGAGCTAATGATTGTGTATTTGATTATGGTTTTAGGTTTCTGTTGGGATCGCCTATCTGTGATAGGATTCCAAATTCATTTTTTTTGAAGTCATTGTCTTTATGTCCATGTGAAATGACCCAACTCAAAGGGTGCTCACCAATGGTTTCAGTTTCCTCTTCATCCTGGAAAGAAGCGACTAGAGCAGTGGTTCTCAACCTGTGAGTCCCAAAGTGTTTTGTCCTACAACTCCCAGAAATCCCAGCCAGTTTACCAACTGTTAGGATTTCTGGGAGCTGAAGGCCAAAACATCTGGGGTCCCACAGGTTGAGAACCACTGGACTAGAAGGATGCCGCAGGGTCCTGGGCCCAGTACTGTTCAACATCTTTATTAATGACTTGGATGGCTTATCAAGTTTGTAGATCACACCAAATTGGGAGATATAGTTAATACTCCAGAAGGCAGGATCAGAATTCAAAATGATCTCAACAGATTAGAGAGTTGGGCCAGAACTAACAAAATGCATCTCAACAGGGAGAAATGTAGGATACTTCACTTAGGTAGAAAAGATGAAATGCACAAATAAAGGATGGTTGACACCTGGTTTAACAACAGTACATGTGAAGATTCTGGAGTATTCCTGGCAAACAAGTAGCTTTAAAAGTTAATGGGATTTTGGGCTGAATGAAAAGGAGTATAGTGCCTAGATTGGTGGTCCCCAGCCTTTTTTTGACCAGGGACCACTTGGACCAGGGACCACTTTCACCAGGGCCCACTTCGACCAGGGCCCACTTCGACCAGGGACCACTTGACCCGGCACTGCTTGACCAGGGACGACTTTGACCAGGGACCACTTAACCAGGGACTGCCTGATAAGGACCACTTTGACCAGGGACCACTTGACCTGGCACTGCTTGACTAGGGACGACTTTGACCAGGGGCCATTTGACCAGGGACCACTTAACCAGGGACTGCCTGATAAGGACCACTTTGACCAGGGACCACTTGACCCGGCACTGCTTGACCAGGGACGACTTTGACCAGGGACCACTTGACCAGGGACCACTTAACCAGGGACTGCCTGATAAGGACCACTTTGACCAGGGACCACTTGACCCGGGACTGCTTGACTAGGGACCATTTTGACCAGGGACTACTTGACCAAAGACCACATTGACCAGGGACCACTCTCCTACATCAGTTTTTGGTCAGCTTTAGATTCGGTTTGACCATTTGGGATGCTGATTCAGAAAATTGCATTAAATAGACCACATCAGTTCTAGTTTCTGATAAAAGAACATATGCCATGGTCAGTGACAGGGAAAGGAATGGCAGCCAGCACGAAAGGAGCGGAAATAAAATAAAATAGGAAGGAAGCTAACAGACCAGATTTTCATCCTCGTGGCCCACTGGTGATCTGTGGCTCACTGGTCACTGAACCACTGGTCTAGATCAAGGGAAGTCATGGTGCCCCTCTATTCTGCTTTGGTCAGATCTCACCTGGAATCACACTGTGTCCAATTCTGGACACCAGAATTCAAGAGGGATAGTTACAAACTGGGAAATCTCCAGAGGAGGGTGACTAAAACTATCAAAAGTCTGGATATCATGAATCCCTATGAGGAGCGGCTTGAAGAGCTGGGTATGTTTAATCTGCAGAAGAGAAGGTTAAGAGGAGACATGATCGCCATGTTTAAATACTTGAAAGGCTATCATAAGGTAGAGGGAATAGGTTTGTTTTCTGCTGCCCTGGAGACTAGGACTCGGAACAATGATTTCACATTACAGGAAAGGAGATTCCACCTGAAATTAGGAAGAATTTCCTGACTGTAAAAGTTGCTCAGCAGTGGAACTCTCTGCCTCAGAGTGGGGTGGAGACACCTTCTCTTTAAACAGAGGCTGGATGGCCAACTGTTGTGAGTAGTTTGTGCTTTTTCTGCATGGCAGAGGGTTGGACTAGATGGCCCATGTGGTCTCTTCCAAGTCTATGATGCTATGTTAGTTTATTTATTATTTATTTACAACATTTGTAACCCGCCCATATCAGCCCGAAGGCAACTCAGGGACTGCATGACCAGGGAACACTTGGACCAGGAACCACTTGGACCAGAGACCACTTGACCAGGGCCCAGTTCTGATCACTCCTGCGCAAGGGGGAAGCAAACATATTGGACGAAGTGAGAGCACCATATATCACGAGTCTGGCAGCCGTTCTCCATCTCGGATGTGGGGAGGAGCCTCTGTATTTCCCCCCTGCCTTTAACTATCTGCAGAGAGGTGGGCAGGATGCGCTGGAAGCCAAACTTGGCAGCATGACGGGTTGCCATGGTGTCTCCAGGGATACAACGCAGCAAATATAATTAGATGCGATTGTCTGGTATCTCTGCGCTGTTCATTGTTGAGTATGTTGCAAAGAGGGGATGGGTGACACATGACAGAAAGGAATGGGATGAGGAGTATCAGCCGCTGGAGTCGTCATGCAATCAAAAACACTTTGGGTTGGGAGAGACCACTCAAGAGCCATCTGGGCCATCCCCTGGCCATCAGGACTGCATTAAAGCATGCCTGGCAGATGGCCATCCAGTCTATGTTTAAAGCACTCCAGAGAAGAAGACTCCACTACATCGCAGGGCAGCATACGTATTCCACTGCTGAACATCTTTTACCATCAGGAAGTTTTTCCTAATGCTGAGGTGGAATCACTTTTCCAGAGTTCCTGTCTATTTAGCCCCAAACAAGCTGTCTAAAATGTCTTCGAACATTTCAGAGCAACATTGAGGATGTCAAGATAAGGAGAACTCCTTTGTTGTTAGTGTCAACTGTCCATCAATCAATGAAACAATTACAGAATTAGATTTTGCCAACACTAGGCCTAATAATAAATTTAGTTTAACTTATATGAAAACTTGGCTGGGAACTAGCCTAATATACAAAGGCAGACCAAAAGATCTGGGGGTCTAGATTCTAGACCAGTGTTTCTCAACCTTCCTAATGCCGCGACCCCTTAAGACAGTTCCTCGATAATTATCTAATTATTTTCATTGCTACTAAAGAAATGTTAATTTTGCTACTGTTATGAATCGTAATGTAAATATCTGATATGTGGGATGTATTTTCATTCACTGGACCAAATTTGGCACAAATACTGGTGGAGTTGGGGGGGATTGATTTTGTCATTTGGGAGTTGCAGTTGCTGGGATTCATAGTTCACCTACTATCAAAAAGCACTCTGAACTCCACGAACAATGGAATTGAACCAAACTTGGCACACAGAATTCCCATGACCAACAGAAAATACTGAAAGGGTTTGGTGGGCATTGATCTTGAGTTTTGGAGTTGTAGTTCTCCTGCATTAAGAGAGCGCTGTGGACTCAAACTATGATGGATCTGGACCAAATTTGGCATGAATACTCAATATGCCCAAATGTGAACACTAGTGGAGTTTAGGGAAAATAGACCTTGACATTTGGGAGTTGTAGTTCCTGGGATTTATAGTTCACCTACACTCAAAGAGTCTTGTGAACCCCACCAACAATAGAATTGGACCAAACTTCCCACACAGAATCCCCATGACCAACGGAAAATACTGTGTTGTCTGATGGTCTTTGGCGACCCCTCTGAAACCACCTCGCAACCCCCTCCCCAGGGATCTCGACCCCCAGGTTGAGAAATGTTACTCTAGACTTTTCTTCCTTGAAGACATGGAAATGAAGGGGAGGAGCAAAACCTCTCAGCTGCACCCTTGAGATTAAGGGTGCATCTACAGTGTAGAATTAATGCACTTTGCCATGGCTCAATGCTATGGAATCATGGTTTTGGCCTTCATTGCCAAAAAATGCTGGTGATGCACCAAACTATAACTCCCATGATCCCATAGCATTGAGCCATGGCAATTAAAGTGGTGTCAAGCTGCATTGGTTCTACAGTGTAGATATACTTTAACCTTTACTTCTGAGGTTTTGTATCTTTCATATAGCATGTTATTGTTTCTTCCACACTTTGCACTGTGATGTCCTGGGTTGATTAGAGTGAGAAACAGTCTTGCAATAATGATTTCATTAGCAATGTTGTTTTTATTACCTTGTCATTGACTCACCTCATTTGTTGTTATTACGTGCCATCAAGCTGGCCTTGATTCATGGTGACCCAATTGCAGGGGTTTTCTTGACAAGATTTATTCAGAGGAGTTTTGCCATGGCCTCTCCTCTCCCAAGGTCAACCAATGAGTTTCCATGACTGAACAGGGATTCGAATCCTAGTCTCCCAAAGTCCTAGCCCAACACTCAAACTATATCACATCAGCTCTCATGCACTGTGTGCTATCCAAGGGCCCTTCCACACAGCCCTATATGCCAGAATATCAAGGCAGAAAATCCCACAATATCTTCTTTGAACTGGGTTATCTGAGTCCACATTCAGATAATGTGGGATTTTCTGCCTTGACATTCTGGGATATAGTGCTGTGTGGAAGGGCCCCAAGTCTTAATAAGCTGTTTTTGTTTTGTTTATTTATATTGTTATACACTTCCATTGGCTAGCCCTGTTAACTTGTGCCTATGTCTCTTATTTTCCAGATGGAACCGTGTATGCTTTGGGTGGGATGGGTGCAGACACTTCTCCCCAAGCTCTGGTGCGGATGTATGAGCCGTCCAAGGACCATTGGCAGCCTCTCCCATCTATGCCTACACCTTGCTATGGAGCCTCCACTTTCTTGCATGGGAACAGGATTTTCGTAATGGGTAAGGAGCAGGGCTTCCAAATGCAGGGGGCTAATAATCTGAGAATTTTGGTTGTGCTTTTCCTGCATGGCAGGGAGTTGGACTAGATGGCCCATGTGGTTTCTTCCAACTTATTATTCTATGACTAGCCATCCCCTGCCTGTGGCCCAGTCTGTGTATATGTGTTTTCTGTGTATATGTGTGTGTATATATTTGTGTATATGTGTATATACGTGTTTGCATATATGTGTGTGTGTGTGTGTGTGTGTGGTTTTGTGCATGCTTGTAATGTATTTTTTGTTTTTTGGCTTTTTAAGTCTCTTCTGCTGTTTTCCAGTGTTTTTATGAATGATGGTCACTTATTGGCTTGATAGGTGTCTTGTGTCCGAATTTGGTGTCAATTCAACCAGTGGTTTTTGAGTTATGTTAATCCCACAAATGAACATTACATTTTTATTTATATAGATTGTAGAAACATACAATTGTAAAGTTAGAAGAGGCCTGAAACGTTATCCAGCCCAGTGGTCACAAGGTTCACAGGTCAGATACATAGATCACTATTCGTCTTTGGTCTTTCAGATGTTTTAGATTTCATCTTCCAGAATTCTTGACCATTGTCCAAGCTGGGTGAAGCTATCCGTGTAATGTGTGTGTGTGTGTGTGTGTGTGTGTGTGTGTGTGTATAGTACAAGTTTAAAGTGTCCATGCTGCTAGTGTGGAGCATCATGAAGCATGCGTGGAACAGACAAGGAAGATGTTGCAATAGACTAGGAGGCTGGACACTGAATTAATGAGCTGATAACAATGGGGTATAAATAATGCGGACACCATTTTGTTCTTTCTCTTGGCTCTTCTCCCTTGCATCTGACTGTGTTAACGAGTAAGTGTTATTGCAATGAAATGTAAATAAAGATAAGAGCCACTACTGAAGCAGAAACAACTTTGTCTGAAGTCAATTAATAGGATGATAAGAAGCAAGTTGGCCAGCAAATTGCACTGATAGGAGCTTCTGAAAGTTGAAGTCTGAAAGAACCCTTTAGGTGGGATGGATGATATAAATTCTATAGGTTTTGGCTCATTTACATAAGGTCTTCCCTTGATAACTTGTTCACCCTCCAGCATTTGCCCCATTTCAAACGTAATAACCCCTAGATAGTCCTTGCTCTAAAGGGCAGAGTTTGGGGACCTAAGTTATATGTAAAAGTGGGTAGACAAAGATCTTGCTATCTGCTCTTTCCACAGGAGGGCGGCAAGGCAAGTTGCCCGTGACAGCCTTCGAAGCCTTTGACCTGGAAATGAGGAGCTGGACACGCTACCCCAGCGTGCCCAGCCGGCGTGCCTTTGCCAGCTGTGCCATGGTGGATGGCTGCTTCTTTAGCCTCGGAGGAATCCAGCAGCCAGGCCCCCACAACTTCTATTCCCGACCCCACTTTGTCAACACAGTGGAGATGTTTGACTTGGAAGAGGGTAAGATGGAGCGGCATGTTGGAGTCAGTCATTAGATAAGTCAACTATGGAGCAACTCATCACAGGGACACGACTTCCTTTTGATGTGAAGGTCATGTCTAGTTTCCTAAATATTAAGACAGTATTTCTCAAGCTATCTCATTTGAAGAAATATCAATTACATTTCATCTAGTGTGCCAGGGAGAATCATGTTGACTATAATAATTGTATCTTCCTTTACTGGAAACCCACTAGGGACATGCAGCTAATGGCTTTGATACCAATCACTGGTCCAAAAACCATGACTTCAAGTAGAGTAGTGGTTCCCAACCTTTTTTTTGGACCAGAGACCACTTTGACCAGGGACCATTCTCCAACATTAGTGCCAAAAGGGTTATGAATCAGGTTTTGGTCAACTTTAGATTCAGTTTGGTTATTTGGGGTGCTGATCAGAGAATTGCATTGGATAGACCACATCAGCTCTAGTTTCTGATACAGAACATATGGCATCCCGTAGCTGCCATCTGCTCGCCCACAGAAAACCATATTTAACATTCTAGAGCTGATGTGGCAATAATAATCTTTCGTGGGTAGTCAGCCTCTCCCCGCCCGACATTCCCATTGCCTTGTTACTATAAGATGGTTGCCACGTGATTTTGAGGCAACAGTGTAGTAATGGTGAGGCAGCGGACCATATTTAAATTCTGACGGAGCACTGGTGGTCCATAGACCACATACTGGGAGCCACTGGGAAGATGTTTCCATGACCCCCATCCTGTCTGCTAACTCAGGGTTCTTTGTCACTCTCAATTCTTTTTCTTTGCTACCCATCTTGTTCCTACCTCTTTACAAGAAACTTAATTTCTCCCTCTTCTTCAATCTCCTGTTCAGGGTCCTGGAGTCGGCTGAACCGCACCATCCGCATGAGGGACAAGAGGGCTGACTTTGTAGCTGGTCACCTGGGTGGACGTGTGGTGGCAGCAGGTGGCCTTGGTAAGTGTTGCGTGTCTGGGATGGAGGGAGATGCCCGGTAATTAATTCCAAAGTGTGGAATATTGGCAGGTCAAAGCTAGAACGTGAGATGTTGTTGTTTTGAACATAACCTCTTAAAATCAATAATCCCACAACCTTCCCCTCAGATACATCACTTTTCCTAAATGTGTTGGAGGCATTCCTAGCTGAATCTTTTTTATTTTATTTTACAAAATATAGTTGCTGCTTTGTACTTAAATTGAAAGTAGGTCTCTAACAAACACAGAAACGTGAAAGACTTTCATGGCTGGAATCAGTGGGTTGTTGTGTGTTTTCCAAGCTGTATGACCATGTTCTAGAAGCATTCTCTCCTGACATTTCACCTGCATCTATGGATCTCACAACCTCTGAGGATGCCTGCAACAGATGCAGGTGAAACGTCAGGAGAGAATGCTTCTGGAACATGGCCATACAGCCTGGAAAACACACAACAACCCAAACACAGAATCATCTTGGAAGGACAAAGGAGACATGTAGAGCTCAGCGTGTTGCAGGAGTTATTTTTTCTCGGCCCAGCACTTCCCCTTTTCTGCAGTTGGGAAACCCTCAGGAAGAGCCTAGAAAGAAAGAGTTGTAGAAGAACATAGCAGATGGGAATAAACCCACTGTACCGCCTCTGCATTGCTAACTATTGCTATGTTTGTATTAGATATCCAAGACTGTCGCATCATCTGCTATTCCAAACTTTATTGTGGTTTTGATTCCTGTTAATACGTGTACATCACTGTGTCATATTTTTATTCAAGACAGTAAAGTTAGGGGCCGAGCAATCATTGTCATCTAGGACGGTAACTGTGAGAAAAGACATACAGTAGTTCCTGGCTAGTTATTCTGGAGAGGAGGGAAATGTGGCCTGCGCGTTCTGCCAGGGGAGAGTCTGGATTAGTGGCAGGACACAAGGCAAAAAGAAGGTCCTGGACTCAGTTCCTGGCATCTCTCTTAAACATGCCCAGCATCAGGGCTGCAAAAGACCTCCAGCCAAGAACTTGGGAGAATTGTCTCTATTTTTTAGCAACAGACAAGATGGATTGCTAGTCCATCTTTTTATATCTAAGGCAGCTTTATATTTGTGCAAATTATCTCGAACATCCCATCATTAATGGAAACCACAGAGTTATATCAGATTGCCAGATGAAGCCCTAAATACATGAAAGGAAAGAAATATCTATTTTCTTCTCCATACTTTGTCTTTCCAGCAATGAAGAGATTAATGTAGTTGATAATATCTCTTCCATGCTAAATAATCTTGAGATTCTACTCTTGAATGGATTGGCCTTAATCCATTTGGAACGTTATATCTTATTTATTGATTTTTAATTAAAAAGAAAGAAGATAATCTTGTGCTTATTTCCTGGAAGACTGCTTTTGTGAGGGATTGTACATCTTTCAGGAAGATAAGAGTGATTGGATGGAAACATTTATAATTATCTTGCACCAATTAAAATGAGAGCTGTATCTTATTTATGGGATCTTTTTCTGAAGATTGTTTAGTATAGATTTAGAACATTTTCTTGCTGCCCTTTTTTACTATGCTTTTTTACTTGTTGTCATGGTTTCACACTTTTTAAAAAACCATTTCAGATGGCCAGTTGTGTATGGTGTTATTACTACTATTATCATTTATATAGTGCCATCAAGTATACATGGTGTTTTATAATAAAGCAAGCAAGAACAACGGCTTATGGATTGTGCGCATGGAACCAGTTGGCAATCCATAACAATGATCATAGTCGTGTTTTAAATTAGTAATAGTTTTACAAACTGGTCAAACACACTATGGCCAGTTTTGTCTTGCTGGCCTCCTCATGTGTGTTGTGCAGGTGTTGGGACAACGTGGCCTTCCAGATGTCATTGAACTGCAGGTCCTATCTTTCTTCATCTTTGTCTGTGCTAACTATAGTGAAGGGGAAAATGGACACCTATTTAATTTGATTAATAAATAGCAATCGTATGAAAAATAGTTTGATCAAATAAATAGTCTTAGTCTTTAGTGTTATAATCTGCTCTCTCTCTCCCTCCACCATCTCAAACACGGTTGGTGGGGACAAGGGAGAGGACCTTCTCGGTGATGGCCCCCCGGCTCTGGAACTTGCTCCCTTTGTCCTCTTTCTGGAGACACTAAAAACCTGGATGTTCCGATGTGCTTTTGATTAAGCAGTCTACTAGTAATTTTCCTGCCCCTACTTTAAGTTCAGCACTTTACATTGGCCCTCTTATTGTCCAGCTTAGCACTTTTGATGACAGTATTTCCAGCCCTGCCTACTGTTTGTTGCATTCTCCTTGCGCTCCTTCAGAATGTATTGTACTCATTTATTTATTTTTTTTTATTTCTCGCATTTCTATCCCGTCCTTCTCAACCCCCGAAGAGGGACTCAGGACAGCTTACAATGGGCCCCATTCTGAAGCCATTACATAACAAATTACAAAATTAAAACCACAATTAGACATAAAAGCATAATTAACAATACATAAGCAATAAAACAGTAAAACAGTCTCATCAGTCATATCATCATTCCAGTCACATTCCCTTAAAGTGCTGCTTGCATCTATTGTCCAATAGCCTGGTCCCAAAACCATGTGTTTAGTTTCTTTCGAAAAACTAGGAGGGAGGTTGCCGATCTTACCTCAGTTGGGAGTGTGTTCCCTAGGCAGGGGGCCACTGCCGAGAAGGCCCTGTCTCTTGTTCCCGCCAGGCGCATTTGTGCTGTTGACGGGAGCAAGAGCAAGGCCTCCCCGGATGATCTTAGGTTTCAAGGTGGGACATAGGGGTGGGTGCGTTCAGACAAGTAATCTGGGCCAGAACCGTATAGAGCTGAATCTGTAGTTCAGCCATGTTCTTTTTCTCAGCCATATTGTTTTGATGGTTGTTTACAATTGTGATTGCTTTATATTTTATCTGATGTTTTTAAATGATTGTCTTTTATCTGTAATTTTTGGGCTTGTCCCTTGTAAGCTGCCCAGAGTCCCTTCGGGGAGATGGTTGCCAGGGTATAATAATAATAATAATTATTATTATTATTAGTATTAGTATTAGTATTAGTATTAGTATTAGTATTAGTATTATTAGTATTATTATGAAGTAAAAAACAGACTGACAGGGCAATGAAACACAAACAAGGAAACAGGCACAGCTATAAACAGGCTACTGCATTCTTTAGAGATGCCAAAGGAGACATCAGTTGAAGGTCTGGAATGTCAAACCAAGGAACTCACAAGGCAATAAACCCCAAAAACCCAGGTCTTAGATGTAGACAGTTCAAACAAAATAGTGTCTGATGGTTTGGACAAAAACTGATGCCCCAAAAGAAAAAGAAAAAAAGCCCAGATGTATATTGATATATTGAATGTTTGTAATTGGGAAGTTGTACTTTCCTGAGCTGTCTTGACCAAATGGTGCCAGGATGAAGCAAGATGAAAGGGAGAGGGAGCATGAGAACAAGGATGTTTGTGAAGTGAATTGTACCTGCAAAACTACAAGAACCCTATGTGAGATCTCATTCGGTGTACCGCCTTCCTTTCAGGGCAGTCACCCGCAGTTTGTTTGCAAATAATTCTGTGGGTTTTTTTCTCTCTCTCCTGTGCCTCCTATTCCTTAAAGGTTTGCCTTCTTTAAAAGGGGCATCGCATCTGAGCCTCTTCAATATATTGTCGAAGGCTTGCATGGGTGGAATCACTGGGTTGTTGTAGGTTTTTTGGGCTATATAGCCATGTTCTAGAAGACTGTTCATTTTGGTGCCCAAGCAGGCTGATGGATGTTGCAATCTAACAGTGACAGGAAGGGACACATATTGCCCTCCTTAGGTGTAGTTTCTCAGCCTGTCATTTCTTCCTGCTCTCCTTTATGTTTGTCTCCTTCAGTCAGCTCCTGGTGATTTACATTCTGCTGCTCTTGTCAAGGCTGTCAAGGAGGCTTCTGCTCCAGAGTTTGGCAAGCGCACATCCTGGCAGCTGTTGCAATTATGAATGCTCCATGGCCCTCCTTTCTACACTGGATCTAAAGCTCCTTCCCTTGCCCTCTGGAACAGTGATGTTAGAGGTCCCTCTTTTTCTCATCCTACTTCTGAGACTATGAAGTCAGCCATAGCTCAGATTTCCCAAGTATATCAACTGCTGTGGGATGCTCAAAGGTTTCCTTTTGTTGCTTAAATGCATTATAAGGGAATTATAAAATCAGATCAGTTTTGATATGGGAGTAAGGTCAGGGATTTTCTAGAAATATGCGAGCAGACTCCTGGGCACTGGGTCATTGACTTTTATACAGAGCTTTTTATTGAAGCTGGCCGTGCCAAAATTGCTGGCAAAATGATCTGCAATGAGTAAGTATACCAGGTTCTGACTGAATTGTTTCTGGCTTTAGTTTTAGCTCCAAGGCTTTTGTTTTTTCTAAGGGTCACGTTAGGCCTCTAAATCAAGCTCTTAATTAACTGCAGCCAGACATCTGCACAGTAATTCCAGGGAGATATTCATATTGTCGTGTGGCTCACAGATGCCATTCAGTTGTAATGGACACAGCAGGTGTTCCCAGATCCTCTGCCAGTTGCTTACACACAACAGCAGAGCCTGGCTCTTGCTGGAGCAAGTGCTATTTGGTTCATAAATCTCATATTCTCAATCTTTTTCTCTTTGCCTTCTAGGGAACCAATCCTGTCCTCTGGTATCTGTGGAAGGCTTTAACTTGGCAAGGAAAAAATGGGAGCCCTTGCCCTCTATGCCCACAGGACGCTGTTCCTGCTCGAGTTTGGAGACTCCTAACTTCCTTTTTGTGATTGGAGGGGTGGCCCAGGGCCCCAGCAGTGCTGTCGAAGCCCTGAGCATCCAACAAGGGGTCTGAACAATGCTTCCTGATGGACCGATATCTGCCGACACCACCCAAGAAGACTGAAGTGCCTGATGATCGCAGGACGGATGTGGAAGTCAGGGGGACAACACATGCTTTGTTGCCAATGTAGCAATCTGCGGAAGTGACTTCTCCTCTGGCTGTTCTCCAAGGAACTCATTTAAACATTGGAAAGCATAGAGTAATCAAGACTGGTCCTATGTATTTGCTCATCCCCTGCCATAAGCAGGGTGAGAGTCAAGCATACGAGTGCTCTCTCTGCCTATTGGAATAAAAGAATGGGTGTAAGGGAGCTGGCTTTCTTGTTGGCAGAGGCCGTAGCAGAAGGCCTTGCTGCACAGCCATGGTTTCTTCACTGCATGCAACCTTCTGGCTCCAAACTGACATGGTGAGAGGCTGGGCTGGACCAGGCTGGGCTCACTAATAACGTGATGGCTTCCCCTAAACCAAAACTCTCAATTCAGCTTCCTTTCCTTTTGTTATCACTGTTGAATTTTAGATTGTAAACTCTTCAGAGCACAGCCCTTTTGTCAACGTTTATTTTCCTTGCTTGTGCTACTCTGTAAGCTGCCCGTGTCAGCTGATGGTGCTGTGTTAATGACGACTCAGAAGGATGGCTCCGCTGCAAAGCTGCCAGGAAGCAATTGGGTTACAGTATGGCAAGCATGAGTTAAGTTCAAGAGCTGAATTCATGGTTTAAGCAACCACGCAGCCCAGGACATAATTCTGACCCCATTCTTGCCATGCTTGATCAGCAGTAGAAGTTGGAAAAGTTCAGTTTTTGGATTACAGCTCCCACTGAGCAGCACATGGCTGGGGAATTCTGAGTCATGGTCCAAAAATTGTCTTTTCCCATTTCTGACCCTCAGTTACAAAGGGCAAAGCAAGGTTTCCTCAGCAGGCTCTGAGGAAAAGTGAAGGAAGGTGGTTTCCTAGCAGAGCAGGTACTGCTTTCAGCTGTCCTCGCTATCCTTGTGCTAATGTCTCTTCTGCTGTATGGCTGAGTTGACGCTAGGAAGGCTGGGTGTAGCTGTGACGCCCTGTGGTGTGCTCCAAACCCAGTCCCCTGTCTCATGTAGCACATAAGGTGCCCTTTAGCTCAGTGCCTAGGAGGTGATGTAGCACCTCATGCCAATAAAAACCAGTGGGATTTTCTTTCTGGCTTTGTGTCTCATTCAGATTGGGGTCCTATGTGCCTGTCCACTCTTTGTCTTCGCTGGTGTCATATCCTGACTATTTCTCTGCATTTTGGTCCAAGATGCTACAGAATGAACTGTTAGCTGGTGGTCAAGGACCATTATGATTGAAAGAGTACTTGTCCCTCTTTGGCCAAAGTATAAGTCTCTTATCAAATGGCTACATGGTTGCATCAGCTTGAGTCAAAAGCCCCACTCATGTATCGGAATATATCTCGGCTGTGAGAGAGGAAGCAAGCTTACATATGAGCTCTATTCCCAGGGTTTCAACATGCACCAACTCCACTTCTTTCATTTATACATTCAATGTCAAGGGCTGAAGGAAGCTTTGAAGCACATTCCAGCTGAATGCACTTAGGACTTTCTTTGCAATCCCTCATCCTGCTTATCAGGGTTCTCAAGTACAAGGAGGACTCCAGGAACGTTCAGTCAAATGCATTTGGAATCCCAAATCAACCCTTCAAACTGAAAAAAAGAAACAAGTATGTGTTTGGGATGTTGTTGCAAGGTTTGCACAATTCTAAAGCTACTTTTACAAGGTTTAGCTAGGGAATTAGAAAATGGACTCCTTTGAAAAATAGAAGAGGCTAAAATAGACCAATAATGGGGGGTATTCCAAGGAGAACGCAATGCTGAATCAATACAAGGTCCCCTGTTGCTCAGCTAAGAGCTCTATAGTGACTTGCAGCAGCTTATGGGTCAATTTTGGCATCAAGCAAGCCTGCCTAGGATCATTACCCGACTACTGGGATCCATGGCAAATAGTGCAACCAATTGGGCCCAAAGCTGATGGTAATAACTGCTGGGGGCACTAATCTTTGCTGCCTATGGTTACAGCCATCAACTGAGATTTCATAGTATGCAAACTTGGCATGATTTTGGATATATATCTATATAAACAAAAATGTAATGTTTGTTTGTGGCATTCACAGAACTCAAAAACCACTGGACGAATTTACACCAAATTTGGGCACAAGACACCTAACAACCCAATGTATGTCCTTCACTCAAAAAAATTGATTTTTTCCATTTGGGAGTTGTAGTTGCTGGGATTTATAATTCACCTACAATCAAAGAGCATTCTGAACCCCACCAATGATGGAATTGAACCAAACTTGGCACACAGTTCTCCCATGACCAACAGAATATACTGGAAGGGTTTGGTTGGCAGCGTCCTTTGGTTTTGGAGTTGTAGTTCACCTACATCTAGAGATCATTGTGGACTCAAACAATGATTGATCTGGACCAAACTCTACACAAATACTCAATATTCCCAAATGTGAACACTGGTAGAGTTTGAGGAAAATAGAATCTTGACATTTGGGAGTTGTAGTTGCTGGGTTTTATAGTTCACCTACAATCACAGACCATTCTGAACCCCACCAACGACAGAATTGGCCCAAACCTCCCACACGTAACCCCCATGTGGGCCACAGCAATGTGTGGCAAGGGACAGCTAATATATATAGCTTATATATATATATATATATATCCACTACGAAAAGAGAATGGACCCTAGTTGCCATATTTTTGTGTTGGTGGCAGTTGATATACAGATGGTGAGCCATCTTGAATATTCATAGACTCATAGAATATAGAATTGGAAGAGGCCACATGGGTCATCCAGTCCAACCCCATTCTGCTATGCAGGAAAAATACAATCAAAGCATCCCTGACAAATGGTCATCCAACTTCTGTTTAAAAGCCTCCAAGGAAGGAGCTTCCACCCCACTCCGAGGCAGTGAGTTCCACTGTTGAACAGCTCTCATAGTCAGGAAGTTCTTCCTAATGTTCAGGTAGAAGCTCCTTTCCTGTAATTTGAACCCATTGTTCCGAGTACTAGTTTTCAGGGCAGCAGAAAACAAGCCTGTTCCTTCTTTCTTGTGGCATCCTTTCACATATTTATACATGGCTCTCAACCTTCTCTTCTGCAGGCTAAATATACCCAGCTCTTTAAGCTGCTTCCCATAGGGATTATTGGTCTCCAGACCTTTGATCATTTTAGTTGCTCTCCTCTGGACATGTTCCAGCTTGTCAATATCTCTCTTGAATTGCCCAAAATTGAACACAGTATTGCGTTTCAGAAAACGCTAAGATGGTGACATCACCCATACCTGCAGCCAGGAATATGTTAATGGGGTTCGTCGCCTTTTTGTTTACCTGGATAGGAGCAGGTAGTTGAATTGCCTCTTAACTTCTGAGAGAGAGCTCCTGAGGGCTGTTCTAATTTTCCAGGAGGCTTGAACAGCCATGGAAACAGACTAATGTACTTGCAAATTCACCTAGATATTTCCCTTACACTGTTACTCCACCTACCCTTACTTCAAAATTCATTACTTCAAGCACAGGTTGAATGACAAACACTTACGCTATTTACAAGCCAAATTAGATAAGTTGAATCCATGCATACAGTTCTTAATGGCAAAGCACCATGCAGGTATCAAGATTTTCTTGCTAAGAATGCACACCGTTTTTTGTTTTTATGGGGAGACACAGAGTGGCCCCTTTATCCCTCACACATGACAGAGGGTACGCAGTCCAGCAAGGTTTTAATTGTTTCCGAATCTTAATCAAGTACAAAGGAGCATTTAATTTCCCCCAGACAGAAACAGAGGAAATATCTGACGTACAGTCAGCAATAGTGCCAGTGCAAACAGTCTGAGACTGTCCACTTGCATCGCTGGGAGGACTTTGGCCGCCCAGTGAAGGGTCTTGCAACAAGGGTTTCTGCCACTGTTTTGGCTTCTGTTGCAGTGGGCTCCTTGGAAGCCGAAGTGGAGGGCTCACCAGTGGTGGGAGCAGCGGCCGACTTGCCAGGATGAGGAGCAGCAGACTCGCCAGAGGGAGGAGCCTTGGTCTCACTGGAAGAAGAAGCCGCTGTCTCAGTCTCCTGAGATTTGGTCTCTTTGGTCACCTCCTGCTGATTGACTACCCCAAGGCTGCATTCGCTCAAAGGGTGGCTCCGATAGGTGTGCTGGTAGGTGGTGCTGGGGGTGCGTAGGAGGGGCTGTGTTTGCAGGTAAGTGTGATGGACCAAGACCTGAGGAATCTTCTCTCTGGAGCGGAAGTCAGACTGGTAGCTTGACATAAGGGGCCTCTGGCGTTGTAACTCTTCCTTCAGGGGGATCCAGTCAATTAAGTTATGTGTGTCGGGAAGGCTCCCATCTATTCTCTTCCTTCCTAAGCCCTGCCATGAAGCAATGAGCAGGTGATTAATTGCAAAATGTATTTATTTATTTACAACATTTACAAAGGGGACTCAGAGCGGCTTACAATATGTAAATACAATATATTATATTATTACCATAGCACAGTATTAGTATTATATATTACTTTGTTGTTTATTAGTTCAGTCGCTTCCGACTCTTCATGACCTCATGAATCAGCCCACGCCAGAGCTTTCTATCCGCTGTCACCACCCCCGGCTCCTTCAAGGTCAAGCCAGTCACTTCAAGGATGCCATCCATCCATCTTCCCATGTATATATTACTACATTGTACTATACCATTATACTGTAATATTATTAGTTATATTACATGTAATATTGAATATATAATTACAATATCATGTTATTATTATTATATTGCATTACATTATAATATTATCATTATATTATATTATATTATATTATATTATATTATATTATATTAGCCACCTTGATTAGCATTTGATGGCCTGACAGTTTTTAGGTGTGGCTTGTTACTGCCTGGGAACTTCTTTTGTTGAGAGGTGATTAAGTGTTCTTGATTGTTTCTTGTTTGGAGTTCTCCTGTGTTTAAGTTTTGTTTTTTATTTACTGTTATAAACAAAATCTGGCTACCAGTGCTAAAAAAACTCTAAAATTATAACAGTAAATAAAAAACAAACTTAAACACAGGGGAACTGTTAGGCCATCAAATGCTAATCAAGGTGACCAATTTAAACATTCACACCTAGCTCCAACAGACAAGAGTTCTTTCTCCCACTCTGGACCTTCCACAGATATATAAACCCATTTTTCCTAGTTTCCAAACAAATCTCACAACCCCTGAGGGTGCTTGCCACAGATGCCGGAGAAACATCAGGAGAGAATGCTTCTAGAACATGGCCATACATCCCGAAAAACCTACAACAACCCTGGAGAAATGGTGTTTAAAATACTAAGGAATTCAGGATGCTGATTACTTCCACCAAATCCCATAATTTGTGTGGTCCTGCTAGATTTAATAACAAATTGTTGGGGACCAGAACTCTAGGATAGGGAATACAAAGCTGATCAGACCAAACACCACCATAGTCAGTGATGGAGCATAACAGGAACTATATAGCAGAACAACATTCAGAGGGCCACAAGTTACAGTGTTAAATAATAGAGGACTCAGTTACACTTCCTCCTCTTTTCTATCTGTTTCCTTATAGCTTTATCTGAACATCAGGTCAGCTGTGGGAAGGCTCATACAAAACAACATGAGTTTTAACAATTCATGACATAGCATGAGAACCAATTGCAGGACCTATTCCTTCTAGCTTTGAGCCACTGTTTGGAGCACATCAGGCCTCCACTGGATGTAAAACTGAGCTCCTAGGAGTGCCAAGGTCTTAAATAGTGCTTCATCAAACGTAGCCAGTGGTGCCATCACAGTTCCTGGGGGAGCCTTGCCAGCTGCCAAGAGGGAGCTAATCACATTAGGAATGGAAATGATGTGCCTTATCAAACACGCTTTTGATTAACTTCTCTGCCTGTTCTTTTGCTATATAGAGCGGGGAGAAAAGGGATTGAAATCCACACGTGTACCTCCTGCTAGCACACTCACACGGTCAAAATATGTAGCAGATCCTGGGAAGGAATGCTTGTTGTCGATCTTGGAGAATATGTGCTTAGAAGGGGTTTCCTTGAAAAGAACACAAACAAGGATTAGGTCCATGCAAAACGTACAGCCTGCGTTCAAACAGAAATGGGATTAGCTGATCGAAATTAGAAGACAAGCATGATCTATGGATCAGAAATTCTACGAGCTATGGAGGAAAACGTACCATGCTTCTGGCCGTATATCTCAGCCTCAGGTTTTCCATTTGAGTAATTAGACTCTATATCATCTGTTATGTAGGAGTGATGTGATAATGAACACAAGCCAAAAGCAGTCTTGAAATGATTGCTATTTCAGAGAGATCACTGTGAATTTATGGTGCTTCGCAATGAACTGATTATTTACAACAACAACAAAAGAAGATTGTGGGCTGTGCAACTCCTGCCCATTTTGTTCCAGAACTCAATTGTGATTAGTTGAGTTGCACAAAAAGGACAACTGGTACTGCAACTCAATTCAGGGTCACCAAGGTACACATTCTTGACAAATAACTAGGAAAACCCATTCTTATTTGTGAGCAAAGGTAAGAGTAACTGAAAATCCACAAAACAGCAATACCTTTCTTGTCCCAACTAAAAAACACAAAATAAATCATGCAAGCTTTTGAAGCTCTGCTGGCTTCTTCATCAGGCAAAAAATGCTACAAGACACTCAGAAGAAAATGACTATGTGTCATTTTATTTTCGTTGTCAGTTAAGATAGTCTTGGGGATATCAATGCAGGCTGAGTGCAATCCACTTCCTGGCCATGTGGGGACCGGGGACAAAGGGCAGTAAAAAGCCAGTTAATAAAATGTCAGTTCCATTAGCAGCAACAAAGTAATTTCCCTTGAGATCCGAGCTCTCTCTCTCCTATATGAGCTTTTTAGGTAGAGAGCACTGACTTTCTCAAGAAGTCCAGTGTGGAAAAAGATACATTTTAAGTGTAACTCCAGCAATATATGTATGTGTGTGTGTGCACGTGTGTGCACACGTGTATGTGTTTTGGATAGCACAAGAAAGGGTTAACCCCGTGGTGTTTGTTTTGCTGTATGTGCTCCTGTTCAGAAGATTCCACCTCACTTTCTGTCTCTGTGATAATTTGAAAAATTTGGTTGGTTGTGGAGGCAAGGATTGGTGGTGAAGCTTCAGTGGAGACCCCTTTTCCCCATGATCACCTTTTCAAGAGTGAATTTCCCTCCCAAGGAGTTGATTTCTCTCACTTTTTGTTGTCTCACCACCGTTCTTATGAATCGTTTGTAAGTTGGATGTTTGTAACTCAGGGACTGCCTGTACAGAGAAGCTGGAATATATCCAGAGGTGGTCAAAGGTCTGGAAACCAATCCTTATGAGGAATGATTTGGGAGCTGGGTAGGTCCAGTTCAGAGAAGAATGAGAGGTGACATAATAGCAAACTTTAAATTTATGGGTGTCATGTAGAAGATATAACAACCTTGTTTTCCACCTCACCTGAGACCAAACACAAAGCAATGGGCTTAAAACATGAGAAATTCCACCTAAACATTCACCTGTAAGAGCTCTTTGACACCTCCATGAGCTGCCTCAAAGAGTGATGGATTCTCCTTCTTTGGAAGTTTATGAACAAAGATTGGATCAGCACCTTTCAGGAGTGCAAAGCTTGGATTGGGTGACCCTGTCAGTCTCTGCCAACTCCAAGATTCTGTGACTGTATGACTTTAAGTTATTGGTATGTATCTATCATGTTTCCCTTCCTCTTCTATTTATTGATGTATCTAATGCACCTTGTTTACATTGATGTACCTTCATTGTAGCTACACGCCCATTGGAGAAACAGTGTATTCAGTATTCACCAATCTGCAGAGACTTGAGTTCAGTTCCCAATTTTACCCACAAAGCCTAATGGGTTATCTTTAGCCATTACGACCCTTTAGCAGTATGTGTCTCATGTCCTACAGAATTATGAGAATAACACACTACGACCCCAAATAGAAGGTTAGGATGAATGTAAATGTGCTAAGATAAAGGAATGTATTAATTGTGTTGTCAAAGGCTTTCCATTTGTATCCATTTGAACTTACAGAATGCTTTCCAATATTTATTATGTAACCTGAGTGAAGTAAGTAAAGTTGAAAGGCAATGTCTTTCACACAGAAGCACCAAGACTCTCCCATCACTAAGATCTTATACAGTATATGCTTTATAACACATGTTTTATAATGAAGATGTTTTAGTATGCCTTTTTTGTAAATCCAAACTCCTTATGTGATATGGATATGAAAGGCCAAAGGCCTCTTCTTCAGCTCACAGCTTTTCATAGAACAAGAGAGTTGGAAGGACTCCTGAGAGACTCTATCCCTGCCATGTAGAAATACACAAGTAAAGCACTTTCAAAAGACCTCTGTTTCCCAAGAAGGAAATAGAGTCCACCACCCTCCAAGGCAGTCTATTCCACTGTTGAACATTTCTTGCAATAGATGTTCTGACTGATGTTTTTTCCTTCTTCTTTGTAACTGGTTTGTGAAAAATAAGGCTGCTCCATTTTCTACATGGCATTCCTTTGTTGTTGTTTATTCATTCAGCTGCCTCCAACTCTTCATGACCTCATGTACCAGCCCATGCCAGAGTTCCCTGTTGGCCATCACCACCCCTAGCACCTTCAGGGTCAAGCCAGTCACTTCAAGGATCCCATCCATCCATCTTGCCCTTGGTCGGCCCCTCTTCCTTTTTCCTTCCATTATATCCAGCATCATTGTATGATGTAACACTTCATTCAGAATGTAACACTTCATTCAGAAACAATAAATGGATTTGTGTTGTCGAAGGAAAAGTGGAAAAGTGAGGAATAGTATTCTTACCATACATCAAGGAAACCACTTGCATAGGGAAGCTGATGAAGAAACACAACTATCTATAGACCCACGAAGAAAATCCAACAAATACTATGTTTAGCAAAGGACAAGAGGGACCCTCTCACCTCTGCTGGAGTCTACTGTATACCATGGAGCTGTGGACAAGTCTACATAGTGGCCACCAAATGCCACATTGCCCAAACACGAATCAAGGAACATGAAAGGCACTGCAGACTAAGTCAACCAGAGAAGTCAACCATAGCAGAGAACCTGATGAACCAGCCTGGACACAGCATATTATTTGAGAACACAAAGATGCTGGGCCAGTCTAACAACCACCGTGTCAGACTACACAGAGAAGCCATTGAAGTCCATAAGCATGTGGACAATTTCAACAGAAAGGAGGAAACCATGAAAATGAACAAAATCTGACTACCAGTATTTTTTTTAAAAAACCTCTAAAATCACACAGGAAACAGGGGAATCCCAAACAGGAAACAATTAGAGCCAGCTAACACCTCCCAACAAAGGATTACCCCAGGCAGGAAGCAGACAGGCTTTGAAGCTGCAAGGCTATTCAATGCTAATCAAGGTGGCCAATTGTAACATTCACACTTGCCTCAAGCAGACAAGGGTTCTTTCTCCCACCCTGGACATTCCACAGATATATTCAACCCAGTTGCCTAGTTTCCAACAAACTTCACAACCTCTGGGGATGCCTGCCGTAGATGTGGGCAAAACGTCAGGAGAGAATGCTTCTGGAACATGGCCATACAGCCCGGAAACCTCACAGCAACCCAAGAAATGGGTTTGATATCCAAGTTATATGGATCTAAATTCTCTCAAAACCGTTAGTTACTAGAAGCCTTAGTTTAGGCTCTATACTTTTTGCAATCACACAAGCCCACTAAGAGCAGTAATCCATTAATTTTAGTAGCCTATCTTAATGAGATATTGGAGCACCACTTTTCTTCTTTATCTGCTCACTTACATGCTGCTTTTTCCTAGAGAACTGGAACTCAGGGTGGCTTACAGAAAGTTACAAAATGCATATACAAAACCATTAAAAAAAGAAAAGACACAAAACGTATTGTTTAAAGTGCAATTGAGCTATGTGTAATCTTACAAGTCTTACGAAAAAAAATCCAAGACAAGAAATAAACAAACGCAACAACACAGTACTAAAAGCTTTTGCAGTCAATTCCAAAATGCTTTTTGTAAGAAGGTTATGTTGTTAAGTGATATTTCATCCCTTTGTTGAAATAACATTTAATGTCAGAAGCAAGAAAATACAGAATTCTGTTTGTAGGTAAACCAAAAAATAGTGTTTGTTAGTCAACACTAGCAGGGACTTATCCTGCACAGTGTTAGTGCGCTGAGCTCTTTCCTGCCCTGTTGAACAGAGCTGCTCAGCACCTCTGGGTGTAAATGCGGGCTGTTCAATGTGCAGCTGTCAGATTCAAGGAACACTCTCTTAGCAGACAAATTTAATCAATCTGCCTCCAGGAGGGATCATTCATTCTAAGGCAGTCTTTATTGTGCTTTTTATTGATGCTTGGAAAGCACTTGCAAAGCTGGCAGCTGAAGACCTGCTTGGCGTTCTCTCCAAGCTGCTTTCCCCGTGTTCCCAGCTATGGGCTGCCAGCACACGCATGGCTTCTCTACAGGGCACAGGCAAGCCTCTGTGGAGCCAAGAGGCAGAGCACAGACTACATTTTCCTACTGGTCTGAACTAACAAACAAATATATTGCTACAACTTACTTACTTAGGCGATCCCTCGTTGTCCGAGTAAGATTGTCTTCCAAGATCGGTGTATTGACGGTGGTTCCGTAAGTGACTGTGGAGCCCTATTCTTGGTCTGCATGTTCTCCCACAGTGAGGGCATTGGCTTCCAGGTGGAAGGTGGTCCCGGTCGGGGTTGGCTTAATGCGCCTTCCTCTTGGCATATTTCTCTCTTTCACCCTCCATTCGTGCCTCTTCAAATTCTACAGCACTGCTGGTCACAGCTGACCTCCAGCTGGAGTGCTCAAGGGCCAGGGCTTCCCAGTTCTCAGTGTCTATGCCAAAGCTTTTAAGGTTGGTTTTAAGCCCATTTTAAAATCTCTTTTTTAAAACCATTTTTAAACCCTATCATGGGTCCACCTTACAAGTTCAAAGTCCTATTCTTCCATGATTTGTAATAAGCAGCTTATACCTCAGTGACCACTATTGTTC